AAATTAGAAAAAATGTTTTCCGTTAGCTTAATTAAAGTCATATTCTGTAAATATATATACACGTACATACATATATATATATATACATACACATACATATACGCATACACATACTCATATATAAATCATCGAGATCAACAGAACAATGTTACATTAAATAATCATTTAATGTTAGTTTGAATTTATAAGTTTATAATTCAATTTGGTTACAAAATTTAATGTCAATTGAGTTTACAATACATATATATACATACATTACATACCCATATATACATACATAAACAAATATATATAAATCAAATATTAACAAAATAAATTTTATCCATGTACGTACATATACACTCACGCAGACACACATATATGCCTACTTTAGAATAAAAGCAACTTTATATAGTATTATTAATAATAAAGCTTTTCAAATTTTTTTAAAATTGAGATAGTTGTTGCGATTCATTTGGCAAGCCCTTTTTTAGCATCATATTCCATGTTCTTGGACCTCTGGTTATGATGTGACTGAATAGAATATGCGTCTTTGATTTAGAAGAAAGAAGAAACTTCTGTCTTCTCACGTTGTTGCTAGGTTCAAAGTAGTTTCCGAAAATTGATGGCAGCTGGTTTGAAACTTGCTTGTATACAAATATCATTGTGCAAAATGTGCATGTTTGATCAAAACTTAAATTGTTTGTTAATCTAAATAAGGATTGCGCATGTTCACATTTAGTTGATAAGGTGATGACTCTAATTGCTCTTTTCATGAGTTTTTTGACTGAGCTGGTGACTGAGGGGTATGCACCTGACCACACTACATTACAGTAAGTTACCTGAGGCATATACAAGGCATTGTATAGCATATTCAAGCATCTTCTCGGCAAGAAAAACATACATACATACATACATACATACATACATACATACATACATACATACATACATACATACATACATACATACATACATACATACATACATACATACGAAACGAAACGAATTTTTATTTGCTTCTCAAAATTAATCTAAAAAAAGAGAAAAAAAAATTCTCTCCCCTTTATATCAATAAGAAGAAGACAGGATGACCACAGTAGAGTTCTTTTCAGAAACTCATCGAGTGTGACCACCTTGACATAATTTTTAAAATGTTATAAGTTTTCAACAGAATTTAAACGTAATTTCAAAAACAAAAAATTTATGTTTTAAACTTAAGTAAATATTCTTTTAACTTTTTTTTAAAAATTGTTTAACGAAATAAATTCAAAATTAAATCCACTGTTTAAAATTTCGTTCCAGATTTTCGGTCCCTTGCAATACACGTGAGAGAACAAAATATTCGTTTTCGATTTGTTAGAGACAAGATTATTTTGTTGCCGACATTGTTGTTTCATCCTGAAATAACTGTTAAATAAATCAAGTAATCGATTGGTTAACTGTTTATAAACAAAAATCATCAGAAAATAAATGCTGAGTTTCGAGAAATTCAAGTTTCGCGTGCTGTTGAACAATGGTTGACTGTGTTCAAATCGTTTGGATCTCGTTATCAATCTAATTGCTCTTTTGATTAATATTTCTATTGGTAAGGTTGATGTGTGGTACGATGAAGCCCATACAATGTTGCAGTAGTTTATTAACGGAATGCACAGGGAATTATACAGAAGATTCAAACAGTTTTTTGGCAAAAATGATTTTACTCTGTTTATCATTCCTATTGACTTTGAAAGTTTGGATGATACTTGTTTTATGTGATGTTTGAAGGAGAGTTTCTGATCGAGCAGCATGCCTAGAAGTTTTAAACATTTTGTTTCAACAATTGTGTTGTTACCTAGGATGATTTTATACGGTTCCTTGTAATTTAGATATTGTACGGGTCCAAAAACCATCATTTGGTTTTTTGAACTGTTAATTGAAAGTTTATTGGCTTCGAACCAAGAGATTATGTTTTTTAACTCTCTGTTTGTTTCCTTAATAAGTTCTTTCATTGATCTGCCGCTGCTAAAAACATTCGTGTCATCAGCATAAATTACGTAGCCAAAAAACGCTGATGCAGCTGGAAGATCGTTTATGTACAATATAAATAACAAAGGACCTAGGATGCTTCCTTGAGGCACACCGTTGTTGTTTCTGAGCAGACTGGAAATTTCATCGTTCACATAGACAAATTGTTTTTTTTCTGTTAAGTAGCTACGAAACCAATGCAGTGATGTATTTCTAAAACCGTACTTTTCCAACTTGTTGAGCATGATGTCGTGGTTGATGCAATCAAATGCTTTCGACAGATCTAAGCACGTTTTAATGACAAATCTTTTACATTCAGTATTGATGCCAATCTTGCGAACTAGTTCTACGATTGCTAATTCTGTAGAAAATTTCTCTCTGAAACCAAATTGGGAATTTGACAAAATATTATTTTTTTGCAAAAAACTAGTCATTCGTCGGTGCATTAGTTTTTCAAGTATTTTTGAGAATGCTGGCAAGAGTGATATAGGGCGAAAATTTGATAAATCTGTTTTTCCTTTAATTTTTTTCAATAGGAATTACCTTGGCGATTTTGAGACAGCTTGGAAATTTGCCCTTTTCAAAAGATAGATTTATCAAATATTTTAGAACAAACACAGTAGAATGAATCGTAGAGACGACAATTTTTGTTGGTATGTCATCGTAGCCACTT